AGTCTATTGGTTTTGAAATCTTCTCATTTGGATCATCCATCTATTTTATATGAATTTTACAAAACTGTAAATTAATCGCAGATACAGTGTAAACAGCCCCAAAAACACACTGTTTCGAGCCACTTAGAGTCATAACTGAAATTTTGACCCTTAATGAAAGTTGTAGTATGCAGTATGATCTTCCTGACTGCAAAATACGAGCTTAATCCGACTTACGGTTTGTGAGTTATACACTGTCAAAGTACGGGAGTTACATTGTSGGTAAAATTCGATTCCGTAATTCCCGACTAACTTTTATAATCCAACTTTCATGATTTGTTATATTTACATGCTATAAACGTACTCCAACATACTAAACAGTAAAACAAGTCCAATGGTCATTAACCTAAGCTTAATCATGCATTTTTACTCCTTCCGACATTTAACCGAACAATTGGTGTACGGTTAAACATTTACCCACAATCTAACCATATTGAAACTATAATATACCCTTTTTATTTCTACATCAATATAACCAGTACTAGCATCATAAACATCAAATATATCATAATTTTGACAATATCAATCCGTAAACTTAGATATAAACACAGTTTATAAACCGGTCTAAATAACCCTAAAATAAACACCTTAATGAAACTTATACCTTTAAGAAGGGTTCGTAGAGTGGATTCCGAATATATAATTGTTGCCTCGATCCCCTTAGTCACTTGACGTGAAATTTAGAGAGAAGACGAAAGTTTTTAAAGAGAGAAAAATAGGCGAGAGATTGAGAATGGCGGCGGTGATACCGCCATTAACACATGCATGTATATATATAATTTTTTTTTCTTTTTTTTATTTAATTTATATATATATGTATATAGTTTAACTATTTGGGGGTTTTGACCCTTCAAGTCTATATTCTCAACTTTTACGTCAAATTAGATATAAACTCATTTTTGACGCAAAACTCGTCTAAAGTACAAGTTGGTATAACATAGGGTACAACTATGTTATGCATAATTCTACCAAAAATTTACTTAACCCAATTTGTACGAGTTAACGAAACACGGATATTATATATAAATATAATTGTTCGATTATATATGCCCGCTTTTAGAGTTATCTAGAAACGCTCCCCTATCGTCTCAAGCCCCTTTTTGAGCTGACGATAGAGATGCAACATCAACAACCACCACAAGAGGTTTTTTTTTCCTGATGGGTGTTCAGGTAGGTTTGCATGTATATCGACTAATCCTATGGGGGCTGTGAAGATATCAGTTATGAAAATCTCTAGTGGTCCTGAGGAGACTTGAACTGGCGACTTATAAAGAGATTACTGAGACCTTGATATCTTTTTTGGGGGAACCGTTGGTTTTCAGGTCGGTCTACGTGCACCCACTAAAAAAATATCTGGGTAAAAGTATATCTTTCATCTGTATGTTCTTTTTTTTTCCAACTTTTAGAATTTTGGCTCTATTTTATGTGGTTTGGAGATGCTTGAATTGATGTTTTTTTAAGTATATAATATATTTTATATATAACAATTGCAACAAATAAACTCACACACCCTTCTCATTATTGGTGATGTTTGAATCCCTGATCTTCTAGAAGACAAGAGGCTTAGATACCATTAGGCCAAAGGCCCTTTGGTTTGATGTTTTTGTGTAAGGGTGTTCACATGTCGAGTCGAGTAGCAAGTGGTTTGGGTTCAGTTCAAGAGAATAATATCAGACTCGAATATTTTTTTTAATTTTTGAGCTTAAATTCGATGCTCGTTTAATGAAATAAAATTCAAGCTTTATAAGCTTGTTTATGGACTTGAACTCGTTATTTTTTTTATATTTTGATTGTATGATTTATATGGATTAAACTCGAGTCAATAAATTTAATAGAGTTTGCAAAAGAATTCAGTTAAACATTGGTGTTACTGAGTTTGACTTGTTAAGTTGAACGGATTTTATTTTGTATTTGTTGTCAACTCAAGTATGAGATTGTTAATCCCAAGGCCTAAAGAGTTGTGGCCTTTTTTTTATTAACCTGGATATCCAACCCGCTATGTGAGCCGACTAATCCCAGGACGACCATCTGCTTTGTAGATAGCTTGGAGTCACCGCATTTGAACATCCGTGGCCACAAGGGGATTTTTTATTCCTCATTGGATTTGAACCTGAGGCCTCCTTGTACTTTTGACATTTGGAGTCAAGCTCAAACCAATCAGGCACCACCCTTGTGGTTAGTTATGGCCTTCTGGTATGTAGGATTTGGAAGGACTTATAGTTGAATTTCATTCCAATCATATGTTTGGTTTGAAGGAAAGTTTCAACTTGGGATTTCAATGAAATCGTACGCCCGATGGATTTAGAAATCCCAAATTCCGTGGATTTCAATTGTTTCCATCGTCTCTCTTTCCCACCTCTTTCATCAAATCTGCCCTAATCTCTTATTTGCTTCCAAATCTTACCAAAACAAACCATTATTTACAAAAAATTCAATTCCGTTCCAAATCTTTGGAAACCAAACAATGTTTGTAAAAGAATGGAATTCAATTCCATTTCAAATCTTACAAGCCTCCAATTCCATAGTTAAGAGTTCGTTAGGTTTGACGAAATGTGTATGAGAGATCTGGATCTTGTCAAACCAAACGGACCCTTAATTATAAAGAGAAATTGACCAAAATAATTAATCTCCCTAACCATATTCATTTTTCAACCATTTTTGGAACCGAAATTTCATTTTAGGTGTTCACGCATTTGCGTAAAGCCTATGCGTAAACATGTGTTTATTCATGAAGTAGTGATCTTTTGTAAATGGTTTTTGATGAATATTTTTATTCGTGAAATGGTGATTTTTTGTAAACATGTTTAATTACTGATATTATAAGTTTGACATGACACGCCAACAAAAAAAACATGTTCAAAAGGTAACAGGTTACCCATTGCTATAACGGGTAAAATTTTGAAAGTATGATACCTTAATAAAAAATATTTGAAAGTATATTGTTTTAATAAATAAAAAAACTGAAAGTACAATGCTATTATAAGAAATTTTGTAGAAGTAGGTTGCTATTTCGTGAATTTTTCATGTGTAACAGGTTATCCTATGTGGATTCCATGTCATCTTATGTTTGACACGTCAACAAAGAAAAACTTGTTCAAAAAGTAACATGTTACCCAATACTATAACGGGTAACTTTTTGAAAGTACGATGTTCTAATAAAAAATATTTTGAAAGTATATTGTTGTAATAAAAAAAACTGAAAGTACAATCCTATAGTAAGAAAATTTGTAAAAGTAGTTGTTATTTCGCGCATTTTGTTCTTATGCAAATTATGAAGCGTGGATCGGTACGTAAATTTGTGTAAAGATTTTTCTTTCTTTTTCTTTTAGTTTGAAAATCGAGTTCACATAAATTCATAAAGAATTTGCATAAGTTTCCGTTAAAATAAAAATTCGATTAAAAAATAGTAAAAAAGTGAATTTAGTCGAAAAGATAAATTATTTGGTCAATTTTCTTTGATTAAATGCTCAAACGGTTAACATTTTATGGCAGGGTATTTTCATGACCAAGAAGTACAAATTCAACTAAAGGGCTTTTGACCTAGTGATATATGAGTCTTTGGCTTCTTAGAAGGTCAAAGATTCAAACCTCACCAAAACTGAAAAAAATGTATGAATTATTTATTTTATTTGTTGTATATAAATATTATATATTAAAAAAATTACAAATCCAATGATCCAAGAAAGATTGGGAAGAAAAGATAGGCCAAATGTGACATCACAACAAACACAAATAATATTTGATGCCAATTTTGTGTTACAAAAAAGAATCAAGATATGGTTTGGTTGGTGGCATGGAGACTTGTTCAAAGTCTAAATATGTGTCACACCAACCCACCACAACCTCAACCACTTATTCATTCACTCATGGAGATGGTAGATCAACCATTCAACCTACAACCATAATATATATATATATATATATATATATATATACAGGTTTCTACTAAAAATATCTGAATACTTGTGAATAGACTGATTTAATCATACAATGTTGACCAAGTTCAATTTGACCATTTCACGAGCATTATTGATTGCGCTCTGTTGAATCGACTAAAAACGTTATTATTCAATGAATTTAAGAGGCAGGAAAACTATATGTTCTTTGACCTCTTCACGAGTATTATATGAAAAAGTAGAAAGATAAGGTAAGAAGAATGATCTTGACCAACTCCCACAAGTTACATGAGGGAGAACGAGTAAATATGGAACGAACGAAACGGCGTACGTTTTCTAATCTTTTGTAATTAGGCAAGTGAGGGACAACGGTTCTGATACCATATTAGAATTTGTGAAACCCCGTTAATATTTTTAGATATCCGATTACAACTCGTCTTCGCTCAATGGATACAAAACACCCACGCTTTAGCTGGTACAACAGCAAGCACCAGTTTAACTTGGGGGGCAGTGATTTAGTAGCAGTGAATGGCAAGGTGGCTTTATTACCTATTCCATTAGGAAATGCGGATTTTTTGGTACATCACATTCATGCATTTACAATTCATGTGACGGTATTGATACTTCTGAAAGGTGTATACTTCAAAAAACACGTGTTTCCAACATATATATATATATATATATATATATATAAAGAGAGAGAGTCGGATTCAGTTGAGAACAATAATCAAATAAAAGAATAAGAAAACAATTGAATCACATATGATTTTATACTGAAATTACGTGTAAAATCACATGTGATTCACACGATTTTGCCCAGCGAACTAAGGTTGTGGACCATGTTGATCGTTAGAGTAAAATCATATGTGATTTTGTATGTGATTTGACCGTTTTGTGCTATTTTATTTGATTAATGTTCTTGTTTAAACCTCCTCATACGTATACAAGGAAGAAAATACGTCTAACCATTGTCGAATAGTAGCGGCAACACCTTACGGCCGTTACCCCTTTTACGTCGACAACTTACAAAATGTTCAACAATCTCGCTTTCAAATAACATGAATCGACACATAAATAAAGCTTGTATTGTAGTTTGTTTATTTGTTTCGAGTTTGTATCGTACACGACTGAGAAGGGACCATTGCCGTTACCGTCTTCATGGCTACACATCCCGTATTACAAACACTTGGTACTTTCTACGCTACATAGAACCCTTAAGCTCGATATAAACATATATATATTATAGTTACGTATATATATATATATATATATGATTTCACACATCTCGCCTTCCCCAAAACCTCCATAAAACATATCGCTCATCCAAAAGAAAACCACCCGTTCGACCTTCTTCCTCTTTTCCCGCTCATCGTCTCCTACAACGCATTTCAGTTCTTGTTCTCTTCGAATATGTCCAAAAGTGAGAGCGCCTGCAATAAAGAAACCGGTATTTGTTAGTTGTCAACGACTGTTGGCAAATAAAGGCTAGGTCTTGCCGGTTCAAATCTCCGTGCCACCAGGTGCGTTTACAGACATGACAGTATAAAAACTTCTTGTTCCATGTTTGACGCGATTTTAGACTTGGACAAGACGGGATAGGACGTGAGTCGGACAAAAATGTGTTTTTGCGCTACTCGGTCTAATGTCGAGCCAAACATTGGACAACAAGTTTTAGTATTATCTTGTACCATGATGTCTCACGTACCAACGCACCCTGGTGTGAGAGATTTTACCGACAGTTATCTCCAATGCCTGCATGGGATTAGTCCAAGCGCGCACAAGTTGGCCCGGACTCCCACGTTTACAAGAGAAGAATGATGATATCGAGAACCAAGGGGGTAAAAACCGAGTTTACCTCTGGGATGTTGAGTTCAAGGCGAAACTTAGGGCCATCGTAGTGGTGAAGAATCGGCCTGAAAGAGTCCTCTTCTAATGGCTCGGCTACTTTCCTCGTCATAACTCGCACCTGAGCGGGAAACCGTGATTCCCCGGGGTTCTTCTTGTCTTCCCAAGCGGACGGATCGATGTTGGTTCCACCAAAACTCGCAGCCTAAATCACGAAACCGGTTTGTGTTAATATTCCATCTTTTTTTCAAAATTATAGTTGAATTTTTTTAAGAATGGATGAGATTAATACCTCAAAGACACCATGAAGTTGATGGGTGGAGTAGTTGTAAAGAAAAAGGGGCAGACCCGGTGTGATTTGTCGAACGGAGTCTCGGTAGCGTGGCGGTAAGCCTAGAACATCAATTTAAGACGAAATTAGGCACATTTACAGTAGTGTCGGTAGCTGATAAGCTAGCTGATGGCTAATCGAAAAGGGTTTTTTACCAAATTATGTAGAAAATTAGGCACATTTACAATAGTGTCTGTAGCTAATAAGCTGGCTAACGGCTAATCAAACCGGGACTTTTACCAATTAAGAAGAAAATTAAGCACATTGATGGTAGTGTTGGTAGCTTAATTATTCTGTACCAAACCATTCAGCAACCGCCAAACAGACCCTAATTTATTTAGATCTAGTTGTACTTGCGGATCATTTTTTTTACAACTCGTTGAGATATTGCGGGGATAGTGACATTTTGTAAACTGCGAAAGAGAAATGGCTAAGAGGTAAATTTGACGTCACTAATACCACTACCAAACAGTTATATATATGGCTGATTGAATAATCTGCGAGTCCTATTAAGCTGATTAAACTGCTAACAAACAAGCCTCAAGATCCCCCATGTTCCAATTTAAATGGTTATGAAGTTCGATTCTACTGAAAACCCCCAATTTTTTCAAACCCTAAAATCTTGAAACCATCATCAATCTAACCACCAAAAACTAGATTTTCCATAATCAAAACAAAAACCCACAAAACAGATGCAAATTCGATCAAATCCAAGTAAGAAAACATCAAAAAAAACTTACCAAAAAGCTGTCTTTTAAGATTCTCTTGCATTGTATCGTTGTTGCAGACGAAGATATACCCGCCGACGGTCTCGTTTCTCGGCAGAGATTCCGATGGCGGCAAGGTCTTGAATCGCTTATCGACACTGTTCTTACTGTTATCCTTTTCGTTATTGTTCGAATTGTTGCTGTTCTTCTTGTTCTTCCCATGTTTGCCCCCAAAAATCTGATGATCATCTTCGCCATTTTTTCCGATCCCGAATTTCCCGTCTTTCTTAAACCCATTTTTCTCAAAATTACCATTGTTTACACCAAAGTTCAAACTGGGTTTTGAATAAATTCCTTTATTAAACCCACCATTAATCCCAAAATCACCAACCTGGTTCTGATTACTCGATCCGATCTTCCAATCGAAGTTAAACCCATTAAAATCCGAGTTTGACCCGCCGGAACTGTTGCCGTTGACTGTGGCGGAGTTGATGAAATCGCCACCAACACGAATATCGAAGTTCCGGCGTTCTTTTTCCGGCCGTTTGGAGACGTAGGAGGTGCTCCAGATAGAATCGTTGAGGGATAGATTCAGATTGTTGCTCTGAACACGAAGCTGATCACTGAACTGCCAAAAAGACGATTGATTGTTGTTTTCCATGATTTAAGACTGCAAATTTCTTGATACCCAGATGGAATCGATTGAATCTGTATGCAAAAAATGGTGAGATCTGGGGGAAATGGTGAAGTGGGTGAAGGTTTATATGAAGAAGAAAGTACAAACAGAAAGCGGTGAGATATATAGATGGCAAATCGACGAAATTTCGCAGAAATGAAGGTGGGAATTAAAGGGGATTGCGTGTAAATTTGTCAAAGGTGTATGTTGAAAATTGAAGGATTCTTTAAAGCTTCTAGACTAAATTACACTTTTAGTCCCTGTATTTTTTAAAATTACAATTTTCACTCCTATTGTTTTTTTTTTATTAACCTCGATATCCAACCCGTTATGCGAGCTGACTAATCCCAGGGCGATCACCTGCTTTGTAGATAGCCCGGAGTCATCGCATTTGAACCTCCGTGGCCACAAGGGGATTTTTATTCCTCCTTGGATTTGAACATGAGACCTCTTGTTACTTTGACCTTTGGAGTCAAGCTCAAACCAATCAGGCACCACCCTTGTGGTTCACTCCTATTGTTTAGAGGTGTATCGAGTGGGTTGGGAGGGTACTGGTGGGGAAACTAAAACGATTGACTTATTTTTGTTAGTGTAAGAGCAGTGGGTATAACGGTGTTATGCTGGGAGCCTCTTAAAGATGCTTATAGAGCTCAAAGCATAACAACTGAGGTCTGCAATTCAAAAAGATACAATTCGATCGAATTTTGTTTATGGAAACCAAACCTGAAATTTTGCTTTCGGGTTAGCTGGGTTTCAGGTTGGGTCGGACAAGTTTGGGTATAGTTATGTTCAATAGAGTAGTGTTTATACGCGAATGATACGTATTTAAGAAATTAAGAGAATGATCGAACCACATGTGATTTTATACTAACATCCCATACAAAATCACCTGTGATTCACACGACCTTGCCACAAGGCATAGAACGAGAAAAAAGAAGATAGCCCAAAGCAAAAGGCCTACAGCTAGAGCCATGTAGACAAATAGCCTTGCTGGGACCAATCCACCTAAGGGGAACCAATTAGTCCCCAAGCAGGTCCAAGTATCGGTGATTAGACGTAGGGTTTGCTCCTTTCCTCTAGCCTCACCTCCCCTATCGCTTACCGTTAACTGCTACTACAGCTCCCAAAGAGATTTTCCTGCTAAAGAAAAGATGGAAATTGCATCGATACCGTCTTTGATTCGGTCTCTCGCACATTTTTTTACTGTTAATATAAAATCACATGTGATTTTATACGTAATTTGATCATTCTCTTATTTTCTTAAATAAAGTATTATCCTAGTATTAACCTACCTCATATATATATATATATATATATATATATATTCAGTTGGTTGATAGTATCGGTGAAACCAACAGTAAGTTAAGCAATTAGAAAAGAGTACTGCCAATTAGGAATTAGGATTCGCCAAAGATAATTACATAAATAAATATATTTGTATTAGTATTATATATGTAGATTTCGGGTTTTCAGACAGGTTAGGTAGCCAAAAATCATACCTTACCGGAACCTAAATATCCCTCCAAATATCGGTTTCGGATTTTCGAATTTTAAGGCATTCAGGTTTTACACAAACACCTCAATTTTGGTTCAGTTTTTTGATCACTTGGGTTTTATACACCCTACTATGGTTTACAGTTTTATTGTTGTTTCGTTCATAAGATTTACAATTTATTGTTCTTTTTCGTCTTTGTGATTTACAAATACTTGTTGTTTTTGTCACTCGTACTCAGAGGCGGGCCCAAAATTCTTTTTAATTAGTGGCACCATTTCGAGAGATTTTTAGATATATAACCTTCAATAAAATTTTAACTAAATTCATGATCTTCTTATGAGTATAAAGCTCTTTTTTTTCTTATATAGGTCAGTAAGTCATGATATTTCAATTAAAAACTCATTTAAGGTTATTTCCTTATAGGTCAAAAGTACCAGGAGATCCCAGGTTTAAATCCAAGAAGAAATAAAAATCCTCTTGTGGCCAAGGAGGTTCAAATGCGGTGACTTCGAGCTATCTGCAAAGCAGATGGTCGCCCTCGAATTAGCCAGCTTGCATAGCGGGTTGGATATCCAAGTTAATAAAAAAATGGATATTTGTCACAAAATCTACATTTGTTTGTTGGTTAGTTTTTTGTTTTTTTTTATAGGTGAGGTCTTATGTTCAAGTTTTTTTGTTGCAAAATTTTTTAGAAACACAATAAATCTGAAATTAAAAGCTAAAAACTAAAAAATGATATAAACAAGATTCAAACCTGCGCCTAGGATGGGAGAAAAATCATGCGAAACGACTCTACCTAGTGAAACTTGTGTTATCATTGTAGTTATCAAAATATATACAGTTGTAGACAATAAAATGATATGATGGTACCATTCGCGATACTGATTTTTTTTTAAACTATGAAAAAGGAACGAAGCAGTGATCCGTGCCATTGTATACAGTAGAGTGGGTCCATCCCTGCTCGCATTTAAAGGTAAGAATTAGCCTCAGGAATGAAAATAACAATGAATTGCTAACCATAGGGATGAAAATGATAATTTCAAAAACCACACGACTGAAGTTGTAATTTTTAACAAACTATAAGGACTAAAAAGGTAATTTACTCATTCTGGATTTGGATTAGTTGGAAAGGGGGGATGATAGGTGTGGTTGAGCGAATTAAATGGTGACGGAAAAAACGCGTAAAGGAGAAAAAAAGTGAGAGTTGAGTACTTCATGTTTATGGTTATGTACAATTATGACCCCTTCAAATCTATGTTTTGCTAGATTCACCCTTTGAAAATTTTGGTCACGGAATTGATGTAATTTTGTTGTTTTCGTTAAAAAGATCTGAGAACAATAACGGGTTTTCTGTAGTTTGTGTAATCAAGGGCTCCGTTTGGTTGACATGAGAAAAAAATGAAAGATTTTTTTAAACAATCGTTATCTGGGACAGCTTGCACACATCTCAACAAATTCCATGAGGTATTGGAGGAAAATCCCAGTAGTCAATCACAAGGGTGGTACCTGATTGGTTTGAGTTTGGCTCTAAAGATCAAAAAGTACTAGGAGATCTCATGTTCAAATCCAAGAAGGAATAAAAATCCTCTTATGGTCACGGAGGTTCAAATGCAGTGACTCTGTGCTATCTGCAAAGCAGGTGGTCGTTCTGAAATTAGTCAACTTGCATAGCAGGTTGGATATTCAGGTTAAAAAAAATCCCAGTAGTCTTGGAGGGAGTCGAACTGGTGACTATGGGTAGGAGCCCAGAGGCTCGAGGTTTATTCTCAGTAAGCTAAAATGTCAAGGTTAAAAAGTGAAAGAAGTTGATGCTAGTAATATCGTTTTTTGTGGTTTTGGTTGTCAGTTAGATCCATAAGTCAGATTTATATGGGTTCAATTATGATACACGGAAAATAGAGAGGTTAGGTCATTCTAGATAAGTCTATACCTTTTGTACCAAATATAGGCTAAGGCATTGATAGAGCAATAACTATAAACAGTTGAAACATATTCAGATTTATTACTCATCAAAACCCACTTAAATGAAGTTACTGATTTTAATAAAAAAAGTCATGAAAATAGATAATCAACTTAATCATTAAGAAGTTCATTAATGGAGAAATGGTTGTTTTGAAGGACAATAACTATGAAGTCCTTCTCTCAACCAACTTTTATGATGGGTAAGTTTAAAGGAAAGAAGTAATCATCCTTTATTGTAAATCTATTGAAACTTCGGGGGCTAAATTGAAACTATTTAGAAGGGTAGAAAAGTAAAAGCCGAGGGTCATCCTTCTAGAAGGTGTCAAATTCATAGTGGGATTCTCGTTCACACGCACCGTGGTTTGTGGATAAATTTTGTATAAAATGATCGGTTAAATCGTTAAAAAAATTTCTATTAATATTAGAAGTGGATTGTTTTTTAACGGATAAATTGGATAGAAAAGTAGTGTATTTTAATTTGATTTTTATTTTAGATTATGTATTTTTAAAATTTTTATTTTGGTATCTAAGATGTAAAGTTTTAAACATTTAAGTATTCGGATAACCGGTTGAAATTAATTTTAGATTAAAAAAAATTCATATCACTAATCACGTCAGCAAATAATACTGAGTTATCACATCACTAGCCACATCAGCATGATAACCGGTTAATGCTTCAACCGGTTACTCATGTATCAAAATAAAAGTTTTAAAAGTGAGTTACCCAAAATAAGAATTAAGTTAATGTACGTTATTTTTTCATACAATTTGCCCTTTTTTCAAAGAAGTAAATTACGTGTTCCGTTTTATATTGCTATATGTTTTTAACGGTCTCTGTTATTCAGGTATAGGGATCCAAATTGTTGAATTCTTAAGGACCGAACTTACTAAAAAACTGTAACCATAAGAACTCAACTCATTAAAAAAATGCAACGGTATAGTATTACTCGTTAAAAATCAAAACCACAAGAACGCTATTCGTTAAATTTTCAAAAAATGAATAAAGATCGTTAAAACATTAAGAGGACGTTTACCAAACACTTACACAGTAAGCGCTTACCAGTAAAATTTAACACTATCAATTACCTACGGGGTAAAATTTTAGTCCACCAAAATGATATCGTATGCAACAGTTTACCCGATAAGCGCTTACCATGGTAAGAATCGTTGTGATTTTTTGAAATCGATGACAGAATGACATGTGTCATTTCGGACGAATTCTTTTTAGGCTATAATTTTATACAAATGAAAAACTTTTATCATTTTCTCACATTCAGTTTTTTTTAGTTTGTTTATTTTTATATTATTTTAAATAATAATATTTTATAAATTCAAGCATTTTATTAATTATTTGTTTAAAAATTTATTCTAGAAAATATAAATAAATATTAAAAAAGAGAGAGGTTGGTTTACTTGGGTGCTAAGATAGAGTGAAGCAGCCGCTGCCATTTGTTTTTGACACGTGCCCCATATAACCATGTCACGTGTTAGCAAGTTGGTGGCTTAAGCCGATAGTGGGCCTTTATCCTTTACTTGCCAGTAGAGATGGCCAAATGGGCCCGGTCCGACCCGTAATCGTCGGAGGACCGGAACCGAGACCGGAGAAGGACTGGAACCGGCCCGGGACCGGTATGGATCGG